CGTAAAAGACTTTTCTTTCCCGAAGAAGAAGAAGAAGAGGAGGAGGAGGAGGAGGAGGAGGAGGAGGAGGAGGAGGAGAAGAAAGAAGAAGAAGAAGAAGAAGAAGAAGAAGAAGAAGAAGAAGAAGAAGAAGAAGAAAAAGAAGAAGTCGAAGTCGGGTTGATATTCTTATGAAGGAATGCACATACGGAGGGAGGAGGAGGAGGTCAAATTAAGGATGTATACATTTCGTTTAACTTATATTTTTAATATTTTTCATATTAATATTAGGTTTTGATATTTTTTATTTTATTTTGATATAATAATTTTGTTTTATGATTTTAAAATCTTATTCGATAGATTTTAAGAAGAAGAAGAAGAAGAAGAAGAAGAAGAAGAAGAAGAAGAAGAAGAAGAAGAAGAAGAAGAAGAAGAAGAAGAAGAAGTCGGGTTGATATTCTTATGAAGGAATACACGTACGGAGGGAGGAGGAGGAGGTCAAATTAAGGATGTATACATTTCGTTTAACTTATATTTTTAATATTTTTCATATTAATATTAGGTTTTGAGATTTTTTATTTTATTTTTATATAATAATTTTGTTTTGTGATTTTAAAATCTTATTCGATAGATTTTAAAATATTTTTTGAAAATAATCGAAAAAGTAATCTCAATGTTAAAAAGAATGTTATTCTCCCTAGATAACTTAAATTTAAGCAATTTCATTCTATAATAATTATGCATAAGTTTAATCAAATTTAATATTAAAAGAAAATACTATTTTGTAATCATATTTATTTAAAAAATTATTAAAAAGTAATTTTGAAGTAAATAAAAAATTAATAATTTTTATATAGCATTTTAAGTTATTTCCCTGTTTTTAAATAAAAAGTCAAATTTTGCTTCATTTTTATAATTGAGGATTTTAAACTTGAGAATCGTAAACAGTCTAAATACTATAATTCGAATTAGTTTTTAATTAGTTGGTTTCTGTTTGATTTTTACATTTTTTAAATTAGATAAGTATTTGATTGATCAAATTCTATAATTAATATTTATATTGTGTATAAGTTAAGGGTTTAATCTTTATCTAAAATTTGATCAAAATTATACAACTAAATTACATGATTTTAAATTATTAAATTGAAAAAACACGAACTAAATATACAACTAAAATATAATATATTAATTAATAATAAAATTTAATTTAACATATTTCATAATTATTGTTTGGATCAATACCGAAATATCAAAAGTGTGACATAACTTTGTGCACATGTTGTTTTAAGTAACTCATAAATTACCATGGTTGTATTCAGGGTTGGGCATGGTTCGGGTTTTTGGTATACCCGGCCCGACTCGACTCGAACAAGGGAGTCTCAACCCGAGACCCTACCAAAACAAAGTTTCACCCGACCCGATATATAACTTAGAAACCCGACCTGACCCGAAATAATAAAAATATATTTTTATTCAATAAAAACAGTGACTTAATTGGAAAAAATTCTATATAGAGGTGTATTATTGTAATTATTCCTAAATATATAAGTTAAAATTATATATTTTTCGGGTCGGGTCGGGTATTTTTCACCCTAAACCCGAACCTGATCGACCCGAATATCACACTTTAAAAACCCGACCCAAACCCTAATTTTTTTTAAAAAAAATCCGACCCGATCGGGTCGGGCCAGAACCTATCGGGTTCGGATCCCATACCCATTGGACAAAAGGTCTTTGTTTTGTTGCTGTTTTCCCCCGTCGGCCTCTGCTGCCTGCTGGTCGGTCATCCCGGTCGCTACTGGTGCCTTGTTATATTGTGGTGTTCCTTCTGCTACTGCATTGTTATCCTCTTGACTAGCTCCTATTGCTGCAATGTTGCCTTGTTTTAAGTGATCAAAATGTTAACACCTTAACAATTGAGTGACTATTAAAATCATTTATCCTTGTTTATTTTTATTTTTTAAAATAATATGTGGTGATTATAAGGTAGTATATATTCATAATTTTTCTTAATCATTGACAACACGTACACATATTATACATGTAACTATTTAAATCCAAAACCTCTAGAAAAAATAATACTCCCTTTAATCAAGAGATCACCTAAAAAAACCCAGAAGACTAATATTGGTAATTGTATCAATTACATATTAATATTTTGGGTAAATTGCTTGTTTAATACTTAAAATATCAGTTTTCGTATCTAAACTTTCATTTTTTTCAAAATCATATCTAACATTTAGTTTTGTTTCATTTTAGTACGATGTCATTAAAAACTTAACGGACGGGCTCGTCAACCGCCACGGTGTCTATAGTCGTTGATCGTCGCATCCGTTGACTGATGAAACCCAAACTTTTCAGCCCACATCTTTTCGACCCCCTAGACATGATTTCGACACCCTTTTAACTAGAAAACACCTAAATCTCCCCAAATCGATGATTGACTTTTCGATTTCTTCATCCTCTAATCTTCATGATCCACCGTTCGATGGGCTTGAAATTGGACTATATTGGTCGACTCGTCATTCTCTCGTGGTCCATTATTCAGATTGATTGTTTGTCCATCTGAGTTATGTCACGTCAACCTGGCCTTAAGTTTTTAACGGCGAGATATTAAAATGAAACAAAAACTAAATGTTAAGTATGCTTTTTTTTAAAAATAAAAATTTAGGTACTAAAATGGACTAAAATTAATTGTTTAAATACTAAACGCGCAATTTATCCTAATATTTATATCATATCAAAATGTTAATTCTGTTCAAAGCAAAGGGCATCCGGTAGTAATGTTACATTTGACTCTTATATATAACTCGTAACAGAATTATATTCGAGAATCTTTCATTTGACTTGATTTAATACGAGTAATTGTTTTAATTTTGAGCACCAATGAAGTGGATATCGTGGTAAAGAGATTGTTGTTATTCTTGAAAGACTCGAGTTTAAGTACCATAGATGTTAATAGTGCGAGTGTTTAATGTTATGAGGTTGAGAGTTATATTTAAACAAATATTGTCTTATACTTACTCTAAATTAATCAAAAATAATTATTTTAATTTTGGGTAAAGTATACAAATAGTCCCCTCACTATAACACTGTTTTGTTGAGTTCTTCTACTATAAAAAGTTATAAAATGATTTACTGATTATAATGAATTGCTTTGTGAGTCCCTCAACTATTAAAAATTATAAAATGATCACCCGACTATTTATTATATTACAAACTCGTATTTTTCAACTATAAAAATAACGGTTGTTTGAGTTGAACGTTCATGTTAATCGAGATATGATAGTCATTTAAGATTATGAGATAATATTTTATCATATATGAGTTACTTATATTTAATAGTCAGAGAACTCAACAAAATAATATTTTATCATCAAAGGACTATATGTGTACTTTACCATTTAATTTTTCTATTTAAAAACTTACTATTTCTTTAAAAGATATTTAATTAATTTTTAGAGATATTTATTTCGTCAGATCAATTGGAAAACATAAAAATCGCCGAAAACAGTCGAATTATGGTGTTAAAATTCGCATCGAGCGATTATTTCGGGAATATTAAGATTTAAGACGTTTGGTTAACGCAATTGATTGCCGTCCACTCCACACAGAAAAAATGAAAATATCGCCAACAATGAGGGCCCCACCCCAAAATCAGCTGCAACGCCACGTGGGTAAACCTTAGCTCTTCTTCGGATAAATGCCTGTTAAGCGAATCCGAATCTCCAATCCCAACCGACACTTCACCCGTCTAACCCAAAGAACTGTCGTGCTATTTGCTACTTTAAAATATTTTGAGTAAACTAACATTACATGACTTAATTACTACTTTATTCTATTTTTTAAAATCATATTTAATATTATATTTTAATTTTATTTTAGTCATTTACTATTAAAAAAGAAACAAAACTACTAAAGTAATAATATTTTATTTTTTTTTAATGATGACATGATATCATTTTATAATAATATGTCGATCGATGTATTTTTAATAATAAGTGATTAAAATAAAATTAAAATATAACTTTATGTATGATTAAAAATAAAAGTTAAGTGACTGAAACGGAATTAAGGGAGTAAATGAATGACTAACTACGTAGTTTATCCTATAAAAATAGAAAAAGTATAAACAAATTAAAAAAAAAAACGTACAAACAAACTTCGTTTCAATTTCAAAGCAAATTCAACTGACCGAGGAAACAAAGCCGAAATCCAAAGCTTTCCGACTCGTTGCACCACACAAGTTAATGCTCTCTCACGTATGGACACTTGGCAATACGTCGCGCCACACCCTTTGCATTTCCACTTCCTGTACACACAAGAAAACATAGACCCACACGACCATATTTCTTCTCCTCCATACCTTTTCTCAATTTACAATGTTACCCTCCTTTATTTTTTATTTAATTTCTCTTTTTTATCTTAATATCGGTCTCTTGTTTCAATATGTAATAGGATAGGGGGAGGTAAGATAGTAGACTGCTCCCAACACTAGGGTGAGAGCAGTTTCCGTAGGAAACCTCCAAATTATGAAATGCCCTCCACGAGACTCGATCCCACGACCTCAAGGTTAAGAACCTTAATGAAATGACCATCCAGCTCAGTTGGTAGAGCACAAAGTTCTTAACCTTGAGGTCGTGGGATCGAGTCCCATAGAGGGCATTTCATAATTTGGAGGTCTTCTACGGAAACTGCTCTAAACCTGGTATTGGGACAGCCTATTATCTTACCTCCTGTTACCTCATACATATGAGAATAAGGGACATCTATTTTTCTTTTTTATCTTAATATAAATCTACGTTCAAAAGCCAATACATTCAGTTTATCAATATATAATTTAAGTTATAAAGTTAATTAATTAGTTCTGTTTCATTAACACTAACCAGGGCAAAATATCATGCGAGTGGGGTGTGTTGGTTTATTGCAAAGGCAAACTTGTAATTTAAAGCAAAAGGCAAGGCTGTTCCTATAAGACACTGCAAGTTGTTTAGTTTTATTCTTCTCTCTTCCCCTCTCTCTCTCTCAATCGGCCATTCTCTCGATAAAACGAAAGAGCAACTTAAGAAATTAGAAAATATCTTTTGTGATTTGGTTAAACGAAATAGAAGATTAGAAAATTAGAAAATAGCAACTTAAGAAATTCTCTCGAGAAAACGAAAGGAAACTCGCTGGTGGATCGAGCGAAAATATCTTTTGTGATTTGGTTAAACGGGGAAGGAGATGAAGAGCTGTGAGCTCTGCAAGTTGGCGGCGACGACATATTGTGAATCGGATCAAGCCAGTTTGTGCTGGGATTGCGACGCTGTAGTCCACGGAGCCAACTTCCTCGTGGCGAGGCACGTAAGGCTTCTCCTCTGTCACGCTTGCCAGTCTCTCACTCCATGGAGAGCCACTGGTTCCAGGCTCGGTCACACGGTCTCCGTCTGCGAGAGGTGCGTCAACGACGGCGATCGAGAAGAGAGCGAAGCAGAGAATGACTATGACGGCGTTCGCAACGACGACGATGAAGGAGATGATGGTGAAGGAGATGATTCCGATGATGACGTGTCTGTTGAAGATGACGTTGAGGACGGCGATAATCAGGTGGTGCCGTTGTCGACAGTAGAAAATACACCTCCGCCGGTGTCCAGTTCTTCTAGTAGCGGAGATGATTCCGGTGGTGAAAGAGAAGTATCCAAATCAAAAAAATTGTTTTCGTTGAAAAGGTCGAGAGAAAATGCTCCAGATCTTCACTCTAAGGTTTGTTTTTCTCTTTTGATCTCTCTTCAATTCTTTACATCTTGTTTTCCCGTCGTCTCTCATTTTAAATTCTTTTCGTTTTTCTTATTCAAATCGTTTAATCTCTTTCATGAAATCAAGAGTTGATAATTCTTTTCATTATTATTCAACAGGACGATCCAGATTGTTTATCTCCTAAACGGAGGTACGGCTTGCAGAAAAGAGGATGAAGCCGTTCCGGTTGACTCCAGGTTATCGAAATAACAACAGATCAAACCGGATGGAACGGTGCAGTTTCAGTCAGAGAGGCACGATTGAGTAGTCATTAGGAGAAAAAGGCTTAGTATGTGAGAAAATCCAGTTTAAAAAATCTTAAAATTTGTTAGAAATTGTAACATCTTTGCCATTCGATTTTAGTTGATTTTGGCCTGCTCTTTCTGATTCTCTAACCTATTCTAACAATAGTCATTGATAGGAATGTTGACACCATGTGTAGGCCTGTAGTGTGGGTTTATTTGTACTAATAATCCAAGAATTTTAAGAGTGCTAATTACTTCAACAAAGTGTTATACTCTCCTTCTGATATTTCAACAGACTAACGTAGTTTCTTTGGAAATAATATTTACGTAATAGCAAACTAAGGGATGTGCGCAGGAAGTGGCGCTACAGATAAAGGGTTCGTGTCCTTGATTCTTTGAAGGACATCCACTTATAAGGCTGGCTGGCTATCCCATTATCCACCGTTTCACCAGTCCTGTGGGCGTCAGAATTCTTGTCAGTGATATGTCATTGACAATAACAAGGCACGTATACCAATTTGAATTTTCTTTCTTAAAATATATTTTGAGCATGAACAGAATTGTTCTTGTCAATCACTTTGCAACGCATCTTCTTCTGCCTAAACAAGCAAGTTGGGCATGTCCTTGTGTATTGCCTAAAATGATAAACATTTTCATCTCATGTGCCCCCCACACGTCTTGTCATTTTGAGTGTTTCTCATAGCCAAGTTGAGGTACCACCTAGTGTGTGGGTCATTTTATGACAGCTTTTGTCAATATAGGATGGTGGTTGCATCTGAGCCGAGAGATTAATGTCATCGGCTTGATCCCTTTGGGTGGCCGATTGTCCCACTGCAGTTAGCATCCGAATCTGGACTGTGTATCCATTTGCCAAAGATTTCCAATCACAATGCACTTCCTGTTTCTTCTAATATACCTTTGAAATAATCGTGTAGGGTACAAATATTCATGTCTGTTGGAGATCTTAATTTTGGTTTTATTGTCCTATCTTTTCTTTGGGTAGCATAAGCTAATAAATAAATAAATAGATTTACTACACGATTAAATGATATTGTTTAATATTACTCTTTCAGTTGGAAAATATTTTTATAAATTGACTACCGATAATCATTGTAACATTGTTATTAGCTTTTCTTTATTTATTAATAAATTTTTAAAAAAAATTAATTTAATAATTTTATTTTCATATAACCATCGGTATATAATTTAATAATGTAGATTTAATATGAAAGTAATTCTTTCAACCTAATCTGGTTCATTTATAATTATCAAAATACAAATTTTAATCTTATTTAAATAATTTAATATCTCGTTCTATTATATTAGTTGATTGTTGGTTTTTAGTTATATCCAAATAAATTTTAATTGGGTCCATGGTTAATTTAGGGGCATCTTTTGTTTGCATTTGTAGGGAATTATTTTTCTTGTTGACATGGCTTTGTCAAGTTTTGTTCAAGTTTGTATTCAAACAAGTGGCAGGGAGAAGATATTCCATGTTAGTTTAATAATAATTTATAGGCAAAATATCTGGGGAGCTTATGATATGATATGGTCCAGCGCCACTATGAATTCAACGCAATAAACAAATGGATTTTTATCTTTTCGTTCTTTCTTTGTTGAGACTACAGCCGCCCGTCAATGAAAGTTTTGTTGTATGATAGTTTTAATATATAGTTAAAAAGATATTATTATTTTTTAATATTTTTAATAAAAAAATTATTTAAAAAATTATTATTTTATATGATATGTTATTATTAAGTGTTTTACCGGAATTATTAATATATCCAAAAAAATATTACTTAAAATATTATTTTTTTACTAGATATATTACTAAACTCGGTAAAGTGTCTAATAATAATATATCCGATAGAAATAATAATATTTTAGATAATTTTTTTATTAAAAAAATTAAAAATAATAATATTTTTAAATAACTCTTTTTTTAATCGTATATTAGGCTGCAACTTCTCCTGTCAACATCAGGTGGTGGAAGCAGTTTTTATTTATTTTCCCAATTACCAATTAAACAACACCATAATCAAAATCATCACCCACATAAAATATTGTCAAGAAATTGTGATCCTCAAATAGAAATCGTGGTTCAGCTTGAAGGAAGCTTGTTAGCTGCTCTAATCAACCGATTAGATTAATTAAAGACATTTTGCAAAATGTATATTCACACCCATTGTCTTCTTTTTTTAAAAAAAAAAATTGAAACTGCTAGGGTCCATGCCAGGGGTGAATCACTTGGATGAAAAGAAAGAGGATCGAGTGGCGGAGATTTGCTGGTTGGCGTGGGAGTTTTGTGGTGGTGGTTGAGCGTCACTTAAAAGATATTATGGAGGGTGTTTCATTGGTCTTAGGATTCTGCTGCTGACCATGACCTCACCATCCTATACGATGATCATATATAATATACACACACGTAAGATTTTATATTATAAGTAAAATTTATATATTTTTTAAAATTAAATTATTTATAAAAAATATTTAAATTAATTAAAATTTCAAAAAGACAATAGTTCCTATTAACACTTCTCTATCTATCTCTATATACATGTGCATGCATACATGTATATATTATTTTCTGGGTTGTTCTATATGTTCAATTCACCTGTTGACTATGGCTGTGGCTTTTGAGTGATGGGCATTCTGTCTTGTAGTTTACGTTTCGATTTTAGGCCGTTCACTTGGTTATGGCAGCTGTATAACTTTATAATATTCTAAAACTCGAAAAGGAAGCTGTTCATTGATAAAAATGGTTTATAAGTGTCGAAATCGTTTTTCAGTTGAATATCGAAATTGGGTTTCGATTTGAATGAATTTAGGTTAGAGTCGCCACCGACCATTTTAAAACAAATTTAGGTGGGTCGGACACCATCTTACCTGATCTGCGTTGTACTAAAAACGTGTCGAGTTCGGGAGTCGGTTACAGTCAAGAAAGAATTAACACCCTTTAACTGCCCTTTCGATACCAATTAATTTTCCGGTTGTCTTTATTTTCAAAAATTAAAATTAAAATTGAAATTCAAAAATTCAATCGAATTAATTACCTTTGATCAATTGAAAGTATCCCTAAAAAGTCAAAAGTGTTGGATTGTAAAAATGAAAATAAACATGAGAAAAAAAATAAAAAATATTAATATAATAATATTAATAAAAAAATAAAAATATATATATATAACAATGTTAAAAGAAATAAAATTATTAAAATAGGAAGAAAATGAAAAAAAAATATATAAAGTAAATAAATAAAAAATGAAATAAAAAGAATAAGACAAAAGTTGTTATATTTCTCATGTTTTGCGTGTAGAGAAACTAGATTTGCAATGAAAATGCTCTGTCACTCCTCATGTTTTTAAATACTGGCTTTGGATCCTCCACGCTAATTTTTGTCCTTTTCTTCCCTCGGTTTTTCCAAATCGTTGCCCCTTCCTCTGATTTTAATTCCACGTTTTTTTCTATATCATTTCCTCATGATGCTTGAGTCTATTTATAGTCTAAAGAAACCTATTTTTAGCTCAGATTTAGAGTCATACTTGGACTCAAATGCTTCAGTTTTAGTGTTTCAATAAGACTCAAATACATTTGTTTTAGTGTTTCAATAAGATTCAAATACATTGATTTATTTTCTTAATCTCACTAAATCAGGGTTGTTGAGTGTAGGGCCTACAAAAATAATAAAAAATATTAATAATAATAATAAATAAATATAATATAATAAAATATTTTTGTAGACCCGGACAAAAACGGATGTCTACAGCTGCCCCTCTTTGCACATTTTTATGTTAACAAGAATAGGGCAAAGATGAAAAAGACAACCAGTTTTTGTCCGGTTATCTTTGATTTGAGACTTGATAGTGTTTGTTGTGACACTAAGTCGATCCATTGGGCATGATATCCTTCTTCTTGAAGTTGAAATCGTGGGTGAATCGAAAAGTGACTCTTTGTTGCCAATCTTGGTCGACCTTGGTCTTCTTATCGATTTAAAGATCTGGGTGTAAAAATTTGATCAAAAAGTAGTTTCTTGCTAATGCAACGCGGTTGATACGCCTTGGAGCTGAATGGAATCGAACTCGAAGGTCTTTTTTGACAGATAACCTTTCTAGCCTTGAGTTATGCTGTAGATGATGTGCCTTGGAGCTGAGCGTAGTCGAACTCGAAGGTCTTTGTTAGCAGATAACCCTTCTCAACTTGAGCTATGTTGCAAATGAACACAATATTCTTCGTCGTGAAGTTGAAATCGTGGATGGACCATTCGTCGTGAAGTTGAGCCTGAAATTGGATATCCTCCGTCGTGAAGTTGAAATCCAATCTAAAGGTGAATGTTGCTAGTGGGCATGATTCCCTTCGTCGTGAAGTTGAAATCATATATGGTCCATTCGTCGTGAAGTTGAACCTTGGAGTTGGATATCATTCGTCGTGAAGTTGAAATCCAATGTAAGTTGTGATGTTTCGAGGCCAATATCCTTCGCTGTGAAGTTGAAATTGACTTTGAAACTGGAAAGTTTATTGACAGATACTCATTCTTTGAGTTGGATATCATTCGTTGTGAAGTTGAAATCCAATCTAGATATGGATGCTGCTTGTGTGCACGATTCCCTTCGTCGTGAAGTTGAAACCACGGGTGGCCTCTTCGTCGTGAAGTTGAGCCTGGAATTGGATATCCTTCGTCGTGAAGTTGAAATCCAAGTAAGTTGTATTGCTCCGAGTCCAATATCCTCCGCTGTGAAGTTGAAATTGGCTCTGGAACTGGGAAATTGTTTGTTGACAATCAGCCGCCCCTTCGTCGTGAAGTTGAGCTTGTGTTGTCTTAAGTCCAATATCCTTTGCTGTGAAGTTGAAATTGACTCTTAATGAAATTGAAAAGTTGTTTGTTGACAATCAGCCGCCCCTTCGTCGTGAAGTTGAGCTTGTGTTGTCTTGGGTCCAATATTATTCGCTGTGAAGTTGAAATTGGCTCTGAAATTGGGAAGCCCCTTCGTCGTGAAGTTGATCCCCGAATGGTACGATATCCTTCGTCGTGGAGTTGAAATCGTGGATGTGTGGGTACGATATCCTCCGTCGTGGAGTTGAAATCGCTGATGGCCCCTTCGTCGTGAAGTTGAGCCTTGACTTGAATATCATTCACCGTGAAGTTGAAATCCAAGTATTGTATGTTGCGGGTGGACACGATTCCTTTCGTCGTGAAGTTGAAACCGTAGATGACCCCTTTATTGTGAAGTTTAGCTTCTAGCTAGGTATCCTTCATCGTGAAGTTGAAATCTACTATCGAACAAATTGTGTTGTTTCGA